TTTTGCTCTTTCAATTGCGTAATTTGTTCTTACGTTCCATCTCCAATATTACGAAACCCACGACACGCAACAAAAACGGCTCTGATCACGGCGTTCTCCATTTGCCAGTTGTTGCCATTTGCCAATGCTGCGTTTAAAGGCACCGCTTTAGGCCGCTTCAGAGTTCCTACTGCTGGTGCGAATGCAGGGGAACTACCTTACTGGCTAGTTCCTATAACTTAGTTCCTAGAACTATGTGGTGCAAAAGCCCCTTAAATAAATGGTGACTTATTAAAAAGATGACTTAATAATAATAATAAATTTACTTACTATAAAACAACAATAAAAAACAACACTACTCCATAATAGCAATCACAATAACAACAATGACAACAACTGTAAGATTATAACTTAAAAGCTTCACTAAAAAGATATGTTTTGAGTAATTTCTTAAAACAATCAAAAGACGGGGCATTCCTTATAGGAAGAGGCAGAGAATTCCACAACCTGGGAGCAATACAAGAGAATGACCTCCCACCCATAGTTTTGAGTTTACAACGAGGCTGGTACAGAGTAAGAGAACCAGCAGATCGGAGAGACGAGATGGTGTAGACACTGTGACCAAATTACAAATATACTCTGGGGCCAGCCCATGTACTGCTTTATAGGTTAAGATAAGAACTTTAAAATCAATACGTGATTGAACTGGAAGCCAGTGTAGTTGAGAAAGCACAGGAGTAATATGACTGCGGGATGGTGTGTAAGTTAAAACACGAGCAGCTTAGTGTTGCACATATTGCAGCCTCCTAATCAAATTTGCAGATAACCCTGCAAAAAGTGAATTACAATAATCAAGCCTAGATGTTATAAAGGTGTGAATAAGCCTTTCTGCATCAGGCATAGAGAGAAACAGCCTTATACGGGCAATATTCCGAAGATGATAAAAAGCTACTTTAGTAACATTCTTAAAATGAGTGTTAAAAGTCAGCTGTGCATCAAAAATCACACCCAAATTCCGCACCTGTACAGAAGGGAGAATCTGGCAATCATCCACTCCAGTTTTTTTAACGGTTTAACTGCAGGAAGTTCTGTTTCATCCAGGCCTGTATTTCCAGTAAACAAGCGCAGATAAAGTTGAAAGTGCTGATGTAACATGAATGAATTACTTTATTGTCATTGTACAGGTACAACGAAATTGAATGCAATCCTTTGGGTGCATAGGGATTATTGAATTAATCAATAATCTAATAAATAGTACACAGATGACAGGATCTATTACACAACATTACATACAAAAGACGTCTCACATTCAGTTCAACAGTACACAAAATGTTCAGTTAAGTTATTGTAGTATTCAAAACCAGATAGTTTAAGCATGTGAACTGTTTGATCTCACATTCAACAAAGCTGCACGACTCATTCAATGTTGCACATAATGATCAGTTAAGTTATTGCAGTATTTAAAACAGATATGGCTTGGCATGTAAACTATTAATCTTACAATCAACAGAGATGGACACTTCATGTCTTCAACACACATGATGGTTAATTAAATTTTTTTGCAGTATTTACAAAAGAAATAGCTTTAGTATAAAAACTATTCCTTAATCTGTTTGTTCGGGTTTTTAGAACCCTGTACCGTCTGCCCGAAGGTAGCAATTCAAAAAGAGAATGTCCTGGGTGAGATGGATCCTTGAGAATTTTTTGAGCTTTCAAGAGGCAGCGGGAACTGTGTAACTCTTCCATAGAGGGGAGGGGACAACCGATTACCTTCTGGGCTGTGGTGATGATCCTCTGGAGAGCCTTCCTTTCAGCAGCAGTGCAGCTAGAAAACCACACACAAATGCAGTATGTCAGAATGCTTTCAACAGAGCAACGTAAAAGGACACCAACAGGTTTTGTGTGAGCTGGTAATTCCTGAGTATTCTCAGGAAATGTAGTCTCTGCTGTGCCTTCTTGATGACAGTAATGGTGTTGACACTCCAGGTCAGATTGTCCTCTATGTGAATGCCCAGAAACCGGAAGTCCGAGACCCTCTCCACACAGTCGCCACTGATGAAAAGAGGCTGAATGTCTGTTTTCTTCCTTTTGAAGTCTATTATCAGCTCCTTGGTCTTGGTGGTGTTCAAGATCAAGTTGTTTTTTGTACACCACACAGACAACTGCTCCACCTCATCCCGGTAGGCGGACTCGTCCCCCCCAGAGATGAGCCCCACCACGGTGGTATCATCAGCAAACTTAATTATAGTGTTACTGGCATGGACAGGGGTGCAATCATGTGTGTAGAGGGTGTACAGTAGAGGGCTCAGCACACAGCCCTGAGGAGTGGGCCTCAGCTCTCAGCTGAGGCTGAGAGCTGAGGAAGTGCGAGAGGCTACGCTTACCCTCTGTGAGCGATCAGTAAGGAAGTCCTTGATCCAAAGACAAACGGAGTGAGATATTCCCAGATCTGACAGTTTAGACACTAGCATGTTGGGGAGGATGGTGTTAAACGCTGAGCTAAAGTCTACAAATAACAGCCAAGCATAGTTCCCCTGCAGCTCCAGATGGGACAGAGCAGTGTGGAGGGCTGTTGCTATGGCGTCCTCTGTGGACCTATTGACTCTATAGGCAAACTCGTATGGGTCAAACCCGGAAGGGAGCTGTGAGATGATGTGAGTCCGAACCAGTCTCTCGAAGCACTTCATTATAACAGGTGTCAGTGCTATTGGGCGATAATCGTTCAGGCTACTGATGGCAGTCTTCTTTTGAAGTGGGACTATTGTAGCAGACTTCAGGCAGAGTGATACAGCGGCCTGGGACAGGGACTGGTTAAGGATCATAGTAAAGACCCCAGCCAGCTGGTCCGCGCATTCCCTCAGCACCAGTCCAGGGATACCATCGGGTCCCGTGGCTTTTCTCAGGTTCACTTTCCTCAATGTACGCCTCACCTCGTGCTCCTGCACTGTGAGGATATGGCTGCTGTGTGTTAATGGATGTAGTGTGGTTTCCTCCGGTGACACCACCTCAAAGCGGGCGAAGAAGTGGTTCAGCTTCTCTGCCAGTGACGCGTCACCTCCATCAGCCAAGAGATTGCTTGATTTGTAGTTGGTAATATACTGTACACCTTTCCACACCTCCCTATAGTTGTTTTCCTGGAAGCAATCCTCGATCTTCCTCCTATGTGCAGCCTTAGCTACTCTGATTCCTCTCTTCAGTTTGGCTCTGGCCACACTATACAGCTCCTCATCACCAGCCCTGAACGCGGCGTTCCTCACTCTGAGCAGGCACTGCACTTCTTTGGTCATCTAAGGCTTCTTATTAGGATAAACCCGAATGCGTTTTTCCACTGTAACAGAGTCCATGCAGTACCTAATGTAGCCCAGGACAGCTGTTGTATACTGCTCCAAATCCTGATGTTTGAAAACATCCCAGTTTGTTGACTCGAAACAGTCCTGCAGCTCAAGAGAGGCACCTTCAGGCCAAGTTCTAACAGTTCTGAATGTGGTAGAAACACTCCTTCTTAGGGGGGTATAAGCTGGAATTAAAAGCAGGGACATGTGGTCTGACTGGCCCAGATGTGCTAATTGCTTAGCCCTAAAACCCCACTTAATGTTTGTGTAGGCCTTGACCTGTGTAATTGCTCCTCTTGTAGCACATTTAATGTGCTGATAGAATTTAGGGAGCACTACCTTTAAATCTGCATGATTAAAGTTCCCTGCAACAATGTGAATAGCCTCAGGATACATACTCTGCTGACTGCTAATGTTATCATATAAAAGTCCAAGAGCCGAGCTAGCATTAGCATCCGGTGGTATATACACAGCAGTTATCAAAACAACAGTGAATTCCCGAGGATTTCAGTTCATCCATCTTGTTAGCGAGGGATCTCGAATTGCTAAGGAAAATACTTTGAAGCGGCGGTTTGTGTGGCCGCTTCCGTAGTCTCACTAGTGCGCCGGCTCTGCAGCCTCGCTTTTGCCTCCTCTCCCTGCGCCGCCTTCGTCGCCTCCCCACAGGGATGGTAATCCACGGAGAGCCCGGGCGCCTAGCGATGTCCGTCGGGATATCGTGAGAGTGGAGAAACTCTGCTGTAATTGCTTGTTCGCTATGTGATCCTATTTCCAGAATATTGTGTCGACTGTAGATGTTCTTTGCTCGACATGAAAACGTCAGGACAGATAACAATATAAACACAAACAACTTAATAGAGCACCGCAAGAGAGAGCATTGAGCCGCAGCGTCTATGCGCGCCGCCATCTCGGTATCCCCCCCCTAACATCAGGTTGAGTACTAATGTAAATCTGGGTATCATCTGCATAGCAATGATAACCCAGACCATACTTTGGGTGAATAATCTGCCCAAGAGGCAACATATAAATTCTAAAAAGAGTAGGACCCAATACTGACCCCTGAGGGACACCCTGCCGCAATGGAGCAGTCTGAGATCTGTTTGCACCAGAATAGACAAATTGAGTGCGTTCTAAAAGATATGATTCAACCCATTTTAAAACTACACCAGAAAGACCAATCCACTTATGTAATCTGTCCAGTAGTATAGTGTGACAAATGGTATCGAATATGCAGCACTGAGATCTAACAAAACCAAAATGCCACAAGCCCCAGAACCTGCTGCAACAAGGAGATCATTTATTACCCTCAGACTTATTAGACTGTTAATGTCTTATTCCCAGTTAGGACAGAAACACACAATTTTGTCATTTTACCAATGTATTACTAACATTCCAAACCATTTCCATAATACCTTTAGCAGTTTCCTGAACACAAACATGATGAAAAAATATTTTGGAACGTGTCCTAAAGAAAGCAAAAGGTTAAAAATATTGAGAACCGGCTCTGATATTACAGGTAACACCTCTTTCATTAGCTCAGCATATTGAGAACAGGCTCTGATATTACAGGTAACACCTTTTTCATTAGCTCAGTGGGTACATGATCTGACGTACATGTTTTGATGCCTTGATGTCTGTTGTTTGGTGCCGTTAAACTGGGGTTAACTTGTATTTGTCTTTTTTAGATATGATGGCACTGAAAGTGGAGAGTCAAGAACTAAATGAAATGGAAGAGAAATATCAGTATGGAAAACATGATTTCACAAATGGAGAAAAATATTTTAGTTGCTCACAGACTGAAAAGACTTCCTCACAAAACGTTGCTCAAAAGACTGGAACTAGAAGTTATTTCACCTGCCAACAGTTTGGAAAAGATTTCAACAGAAAAACAAAACTTACAAAGCACATGAAAGCTCACATTGGAGAGAAGCCATTCAGATGTAATCTGTGTTCAAAGAGCTTCAGAAAAATGTACTACCTTAACAGGCACTTAAAAATTCACTCTGGAAAGAAGCCTTTCACCTGCCAACAGTGTGGAAAGAGCTTCACTGAAAAAAGAAACGTAAAACTCCACATGAGAGTTCACACTGGAGAGAAGCCTTTCACTTGCCAACAGTGTGGAAAGAGCTTTGCTGAAAATGGACACCTTAAAGTCCACATGAGAACTCACACTGGAGAGAAGCCTTTTACCTGCGAATTCTGTGGAAAGAGCTTCATTGACAAAAGAAATGTAAGAATCCACATGAGAATTCATACCGGAGAGAAGCCTTTCACCTGCCAACAGTGTGGGAAGAGTTTCACACAAGCAGAACATCTTAAAGGCCACATGAGAATTCATACTGGAGAGAAGCCGTTCACCTGCAAACTGTGTGGAAAGAGCTTCACTGAAAATGGACACCTTAAAGTCCACATGAGAATTCACACTGGAGAGAAGCCTTACACCTGCCAACAGTGTGGAAAGAGCTTCACTGAAAATGTACACCTTAAAGTCCACATGAGAAGTCACACTGGAGAGAAGCCTTACACCTGCCAACTGTGTGGAAAGAGCTTCTCTCAAAGATGTCATCTTAAATTCCACGTTAGAAGTCACACTGGAGAGAAGCCTTACACATGCACTCAGTGTGGAAGGAGCTTCACAACAAAAATAAACCTCAGGTATCACATGAAAGTTCACACCGGAGAGAAGCCGTTCACATGTGATCAGTGTGGAAAGAGTTTCAAACTAAAAAAATCCCTTAACTGTCACTTGAGTTCACACAAGAAGTGTGGAAAAAGTGTCAGCCTAAACCAGGGGTCAGCAACCTTTATGTCATGAAAGTTTACTAGTTAATCCCTGTGCCACAACCTGTGTACCCCCATATGTATAAATGCATAATTTCTTAATAATAATGTATAAATTATTAATTTCTTGATGTTTGTTTGCTTTTTAGATAAGTTTTATAAAAATGTACAAGAAAGCTCCACACAATTCATACAGATTATAAAATACACAAAAAAGTCATATACTTATTTCCATTGTGGTCCTCTTTTTATGTCCAAAAAAAACTATTATTTTCATTTATTTATTAGTGTGATTTGTTTAAGAAATCCCTATTAGGTTACAAGGCATCAGATGTGGACGTTGCCCATGTCTTATGCCATATATGATAATAGTTGAGGGCGGTGAAACATCAATGTTTTTTCTGGGGGCTCACAATCCCAAGCTATAGCCCTGCAATTAAGAGTCTTCACTGAGAAAACAAATAATACTCAGTTTTTCACTACACTCATCTACTATAAGGAAAATAAGTCAGGGAGGACACACACACAATCTCAGTTTACCTTTGCCAATTAATAACTTAATGTAAAATGTTACCTATTGACTGTTGCATTTTTTTTGTGGCCCTATAAAAAAGATTTAATTAAATGGATAAATGTTTATTCAATTAAAGATTCATAAATCTCTTTCTAAAAAAAAAATGCATCAAGTAAAAAATATAAGTGTTGAGGAGGTTCCGTTTATGGCACGCAAGGAGCAGACAGCTGCACGCGGCTCTCCCACAAACTTTGTATGTTCTACCCTTAAAGCCTCGCCAGTTACAACATCTTAAGGCTGCATTTGAATTTTTTATTGATCAGTGACGTTCAGAATGTCGAAGGGAAAGAGTAAACAGACTGATAAAGATAGAGAAGTTTCCCCACAACCTGCGGCTAGCATTACGCTAGCCAAAATTAGCCTGCTACATGAGGAACTCAGAGCTTGGCTTGTTGCGGATTTTAGATTGTCAACTGAAACGTTAGCAAATAAGTTGGATAACATACAATCCACCATCTCGGACCTTGCTCAAAAGGTGGACTCTCTAGAATCCAACGCTACTGAAGTTGATCAGCACTTCGTACATATATATACAGTATATAATTAGAGGTCCAAATGACAATCACCTGATCTATACGTATAAAAAGGGTGATTATTGTGTCTCACCTTGTTTTTAGGATGCATGGCACATTAGGAATTGCTTGAAGATATTGCGCCGTGTGCTTTCAGGAGAGAGCACATCTTTAGAGAGTTCATAGATATGTTTGCTGAGAGTGAAGAATGTCTATTCAGTCGCTTTAGACTGTCGGGAGAAGTTCTTGTTGATTTATGTAACTCTCTGGAACCACACCTAAGCCATCTCACAAACCACTCTCACCCTATAGCTCCTCATCTCCCAAGTTCTAGCTGCCATCGGATTCCTTGCCACGGGAACATTCCAAAGGGAACTAGGGGACCGAGCAGGGCCGTGCCATTCACAAGGTGGTAAAAGCTATTATAGGGCTTATGACTACACATGTAAAATTTCCTTATTACTTGACACACCAGATGGTAGTTAAGAGGGGGTTCCACGAGATGAGTGGCATACCTAATACCACTGGTGCAATAGACTATACCCATGCCACGTGCGTATTAAAGCACCATCTGCAAATGCAATAAACTATGTGAATAGAAAAATGTATCACTCCATCAACGTTCAAATAGTCTGCGATGCGAGTTGCAGCATACTAAACGTTGTTGCACGCTGGCCCGAAGGAACTCACGATTCTGTCATTTTACAGAACAATTATTTAGGACAGCGCTTGGAAGCTGGAGCTGGCAGAGAAGGATGGCTTCTTGGTGAGTAGACGTACGCGCCCAGAATATTTTATACAGTTAATTAATTCACATGTTAATTATCATAATGGTTATTGTAGGTGACCGGGGTTATGGTCTAAAAACGCAGCTCATGACCCCTCAGGAACCAGAAACATGCCTGTGCGTGCTCCGTGATAGAGCGCTCAATCGGGTTACTCAAATCACGTTGGATGTGCTTGGATGCAGCTGGTGGAATGCTCTTATACAAGCTGGAGAAAGTCTGTCAAATTGTTTTAGCATTTAGCATGCACAACATCACAATGGCACAGGGTGGAACCCAAGCCCAGCCTGAACCTGTGTGTGACGAGATGCAGATGAACGCTCCTGCCCAAGCAGCGCTCCAAGCACGCCTTCAACTGATACAACGTCTATAGTGTGATACAACGTCAACATGTAAGAGTGGTTTGTATAACACAAAAAAAGCTTCCAAGTTACCCAAATATCTTGATTAAATATTTATTCACATACAGATGTATTTATTTGACAGCTGCCACATCTTTTATGGCAATAATAATGGGCATCTTGACTAGCAAGCACCTTGTTGGTCAGGACTCGTGCTTGCTAAGTAGACGGCTGGACCTCAGCTTCTTCATTCCCATCTGCTGTGTGCAAAAGCCGGTGGAATTTTGATGCTGTTGTGATGCAAAATACTTAAACATACATTACTTAGACTAAATACAGTTTTTTTTTGGTTCATGAAACTTACCGTGTTGTATTTGCTACTGTATTAGGTCACTCTCCCCCTCACTCCTTTCTGCAAGACCTCCCAAGCTTGATTGTCCTATTATTATAGCCAGCCATCCTTTCATCGAAGTCAGTTAGATCAGGTGGCCCCTGCCCTCCACCCGTGTCTTTTTTCCTTTTCTGAAGTGAAATTCTTCTTTTTGCATCAAACTTCATATCAAACCACTTTTCTTTTCTTTTTTTTTTTTTACTTCTGCAACTGTACAAATTTCTGGTGAAACTATTAACGGCCTGCTTTACTGCATCCCATGCTTCTTCGTTACCTGTTATGCCTG